GAGGGGCTGATGAGCTCAATCCCAAACTATTGATTTTTTTTCCTGCCTGGATTGCTGTCAGAGAATCAGAAAGAAATAGCTGTGGCACAGGTCAGCCCAAACATTTTCATGAGGGCTGTTACACATTTTCATCTCTATTAGCAGTACTTTCATTTTGGCAAACCTTTCTGTGAACAAACTCACAAAAGCGCTGATGAAGAGCAAATCAAAGGGAATATGACAGTTGTCAGAAAGGCTCTGTGTTTTCTGTTTGAACAACTGCTTATGAGTACTCATTTTCTCATAGCTGGGAGCTCTAATCCTCCTCTATTCAGCACATTACAGAAAAAATACTAAATTACATCCCCTATCACTACATCTAATTCCAAATGAAGTCAAATAAGTGCAGTAAAGAGAATAAACAAATAATTAGTGACACTGATAACATAGGAATTGGGCTGAAAGAATGTCTTTCCTTTGGAAAAAAGAGAAGCGGTGTCAGAGTTGTTGATTAATTTAACAGCCATTAAAACATCTTATTAACTCAAGTGCTAATTGAGTGCTTGGCAGGAATAACAGAGCAGAGCCAACCACATGCATACATACAAATCACTAAAATTTGAAAAAATTCTCTGGCTTAATATTTCATTACTTCTATAACTTGATTTTGTAGTGTGTTTGGCTGGTGTATGTGGTCTCACTTGCCTGTTTTGTGTTGAAGATTCCATGCTCTGATGGCTCACAACTTCTATTGTTCTTCAAAATGGAAGTCCATTTACACACCTCATGGCTGAGATCTTTAACATCTTTATTAATGACATCGATGAAGGAATTGAGTGCACCCTCAGCAAGTTTGCTGACGACACCAAGCTGAGTGGTGCGGTTGATACGGCGGAAGGAAGGGATGCCATTCAGAGGGACCTCGACAGGCTTGAGGGCTGGGCTCGGGTGAACCTAATGAGGTTCAACACGGCAAAGTGCAAGGTTTTGCATTTGGGCCAGAAGAACCCTAGGCACCCGTACAGGCTGGGAGGAGTGGTCCTTGAGAGCAGCTCGGCAGAGAAGGACCTCGGGGTCCTGATGGACGAGAGACTGAACATGAGCCAGCAGTGCGCTCTGGCAGCTCGAAAGGCAAATGGGATCCTGGGCTCCATCAGGAGAGGGGTGGTCAGCAGGGACAGGGAGGTGATTGTCCCTCTCTACTCGGCTCTTATGAGGCCCCACCTGGAGTACTGTGTCCAGGTGTGGAGCCCTCAGTACAAGAAAGACATAGAGATCTTGGAAAGGGTCCAGAGGAGGGCGACTAAGATGATCAGGGGGCTGGAGCACCTCCCCTATGAGGACAGGCTGAGGGAGTTGGGCTTGTTCAGCCTGGAGAAGAGAAGGCTGCGGGGCGACCTCATTGCAGCCTATCAATACCTGAAGGGAACCTACACCCAGGAGGGGAGTAAACTCTTCAGAAGGGCTGACAACAGCAGGACTAGGGGAAATGGATCCAAGTTGAAGGAGGGAAGATTTAGGTTGGATGTTAGGGGGAAGTTCTTCACAAGGAGAGTAGTTAGGCCCTGGAATGGGCTGCCCAGGGAGGTTGTGGATGCCCCGTCCTTGGACGTGTTCAAGGCCAGGTTGGACGGGGTCCTGGGCAACCTGATCTGAATGTGTATGTTTGGTGGCCCTGCTAGGCAGGGGGGATGGAACTACATGATCCTTGAGGTCCCTTCCAACCCAGGTGATTCTGTGATTCTGTGATTCTGTGATCTTCCAAATCTGAGTTAAACAAGTGCCTTGCAGTGGTACCTGAGTTTGCACAAAGGCTGAAAGGTGCCAGCTGCTGAGCATCAGAAGGTCTCAGTGCTGTAACTGCTGAAGTAACAGGCACCAGTGTGAGGAAACAACTGCTCCAACCGTTCCAGTCAAGAAATCACAATCACGCTCATCTCCTTCATGGAATCACAGAATCATAGAATGGCTTGGGTTGAAGGGACCTCAAAGATCATTGAGTTCCAAACCCCATGCTGTGGTCAGAGTTGCAACATTAAGTCAGACAGCCAAGAACCCATGAAGCCTGGTCTTGAACTCCAGAGATGGGACATTCACAACTTCTCTGGGCAACCTGTTCCAGTGACTCACCACTCTCTGAGTGAAGAATTTCTTCCAAACATCTCACCTAAATCTCCTCTCTTTCAATTTAAATCCATCTTCCCTTGTCCTATCACTCTACCTTGTCCAATCCTGTGCCTTCCCAGGAGCAGTGTTTGGTTTTCAGAGCACAAGATATTTTTTTTTTTGTACATGGGCAGTGTGCAGGAAGGAGTTAGACTAACATTACTCCATCATCTGTATTTGAATCCCAGATGTTTGTGGTCGAAACATATTGCTTCCCATGTCCTTTCTCCCCTTGTACCCATAACATGTTAAAACATCCCTAGATGGCAAAAGGACAGCCACACATTTCTGTACTTCACTTCTGTGGAAGCACAGTAGAGAACATCTCCACTCCTTCCCCACCATTGCACCCAGTGGGAGGGAAGCAACTAGTTTTTCCTATCTGAGCAAGGGCAAGACATCACACTGTGTGAATTTTGCTTGGGGTTGGAAGGGGAATACATACCACTGCAGAAATTGTTGCAAAACTCCAAACTTCTCCCACTGATGACTACAAACGGATGTGGTGGTAGGGAGCTTGCTCCTACGGGGCAAACTCAAACTTCCAGTTATTTCATAGTAGTTAGCCAAATACGGGCAAGAGGTATTTTGAGCTCAGACACTTCAACATCAAGTGATAGCCAGGAAGATGGAAGAAAACTTACAAGTCATGAAGACCATGCATAACACTACCTAAAGTCTGTCTTCCAGACCTCAGAACAGACACAGCTCTAATTATTTGTCTTTAAATACACAGGAAGCAATGCATGAAACCAGAAATTACAGTCAGTCTACAGCTGCCCTTGTTGACCCTCCTAACTCGTGTACAGCTTTCTCCATGTGCACCCATATCACTTCAGCACAAGCTCCTGTATAATGGGAGTCTGCTGTTATTGCAGTATCTGCTGCTCAGCAGCAGTTTTGCACAGAGCTGCTTTTAGCATGTAGGAGCCTCTGAAAGATTATTTAGCTGCAGCTTAAAATGTACTAAGCTGCCCTGGATGGTCTGTTTGCAACTCCACTGGAGCATGGGCCAATAAGCATGAAGAGTCAGGGCAGGGCTGGAAGCTGTGTCTGGAACAATGTTTAGGCACAGGAACTCAGGTTATAAAGTGCTCTGAAGGGTCGAATCCACTGGAACCTTGGTCAGAGGAGAGTGGGTGTTTGTGCTGTGTCCATTGCCTTTCCCAGCCTCCTAGAAATGATCAGCCACCTAGCACAAGTGCTTATTAATAACCTCGCTTAAGGAAATTGGCTGGAGTCTTACTTTTCATTGTGTGGAATGAATGGGACTAAATATAATCCAGGGCTCATTTTGGTGGATAACAATGCGAGAGAAACTTCCTGTTCTAGCAGAAATCCTCCATTTAGGAGTTTCTCCAGGCTTGGTGAAATTCTTCAAATTTCAAGAAACACTAAGGTCACCATCTAAATCCTCTATTCTCCCAAATAAAGATATTCTTTTAATACTCTGTGTGAAGGGTAATGTAGTGTCTTTATTATAATCCAGCTGAAAGCACAAGATATTTTAATCAGTGAGAGCTCAGAAACAAAGGAACTTCTTGGCTGAAGACCCACATTCAATGATTATTTTTTTCAGCTGAACTGAAATAAAGACATTATTTAAACATTTATCTGTCATCTCACACTGCCTGCAGCTAGCTGCTGGGTCTCTATTTCTCAGGTGCACTGTCTCTTTATGCAAAGGTAAATATATATATATAACAATTTCCTTGCATGGCTTCACTTGGAATTATGCCTTCTTACATCTCTGTTAGCGGAGTGCTGTGTCGGGAGGGTTCCAGGTGCTGTCAGGTGTGTGAGTGTGCACCATCTTTGCAAACATGCCTGCTTGTGTTGCTGGTTTGCAAAACCAAGGCCCAGAGTGTCTGATTTGTCAGCTGATGCTGACTGAAGGACAGATGCAGAGACTGCAGGAGAGGGGAGCACAAGAGAAGCAGGAGATCAGCAGCAATACTGCTGCCAAGACTGAACTCATGAGATTCAGTGATGAAAAAATGCATTAGCTTTGCCCATCTTCCTTCCCTCATCTTGCCATTAGTTACCAAGCCATCAGCCTTTCTGACAAGTTCTCCAGGAGCTCTGATGCCCTAGTGCTGCTGGCATAAGCAGCCTCCCTGCAAAGATCTTCACTATGGGAGAAAAACAAGCTCACTTATAAGTACTCTTTCTTTGCAAGTGCAACATTTGCTATTTTCCTGTTTGAAGGGTGCCACACATAAATGGACCTGAAATCAGCACTGCCAATAAAGAGACACTTCACCATCTCAGAAGGGCAGAGGCAGCTTGGTCCTGCTGGGCTCTGAACTGCCCCATGCATCAAAGACCAAGGTGCAGGGGGTGGAAGCAAGAAGGTGAGTGAGGTCAGCAGGCAGTGTGGGGAGCCTGCTGGAGAGGAAGAGAAGAAAGGGCAGGAGGCCCTAGGGGTGGAGGAATGAGAGGAAGTCGAAGGGAAGAGACACATGAGGTACCTGCTGGGCTTCTGCTGGTGATCCTAGAGCTGTGATTCTCCACAGGGTCCCTCCACTTCCCCCAGAGGAGCTCCTGGCACTGGTAGAGCCATATCTCTGAGCCTGCAGCACTTGGGTGAAGAGCTGGAAGGCACACTTCTGCCTGTGTGTCGTTGAGATGGCCAGTTGAGCAGGACAGACAGCTTGCACCTAGGCAGGCCCTGCAGAAACCTCTGCGTGCAAGGACTGGCTGCAGGACACAGCAGGAGATTTTGTGCTCTCTCCCTGTGCTTTGATGCGCTTGGCTAACAGGTTAATCAGCTGTTTGTTGTCAGGCCTGATGGGAAAATATCAACAAACACAACTAGAGGATGGAGAGAGCAAAACCTTTTCTGGCATGTTCTCCTTTGACTGCAACATCAAAGATCTCATTATGATATTTTTGTAGAAGATTATTTAACTCCAGAATAGTCAGGGATGTCAAACCCCATGAGCAGAAAAATCTGGGGAGAACAGCACTGAATGGGCAAGAGTGTTTAATATTTCACAAAGGGCATGCACAGACGAACACACAGTTCTCAAAACATCCTAATTAAAATGCTTTAATGAGTATATGTTTATAAACTAGCAGAGAGAGCTTTGCAAGTCCCAGTTACATCAGGTACTACGGGGGCATCCTTTCTCTTTCCCAGGGGAAGGACACATCTTAAGCCCCTCAGAACTTCCTTTTGTCACTGGATGATTTTCCTAATCTCAAAGGGCCAGGAGATTTTTTTTATTCAACTAGAAAGCAGTCACACAAAGCAAAGTCAAGAGTGTGAAGGGAGCAGCAGAAATGATCTCGTTTCCTCTCCAGGGCTGTAGTTTCAGTTCCCCATTGTCATCAGTGGCATCCAGAGCAGGCACCCTCCAGCTCTCCCACAGGTATGGGAGCACTCCTCCATCCTGAGCCACTTCGTCTTGTTCTTGGAGAAGAGACAAGAGGAGTCCTTCAGAAAAAGCCAGATGATACAAAAAATGGGACATACTCCCATTTCCAAACTGACATTTTTTAAGTGGAGAAAAGAACTGCTTTGGACACTGAGAAGAGACAGTGAGACATGCATCTCTGAAGAACAGGGCTGAAAAAGCAAGATAAGAAAAGGCAAGTGGAGAGATACCTTTGTTTATTTTGTGGGAAGTCTCTTGGGTCAGGAAGGGCTTGGGGGCTTTCTCGGAGAAAATGTTGTTGCCAGGACTTACTTGCCACCTTTACAGGAAAGTGAAGGACTAAATGTGCTGCAGAGATCAAGTGAATTTGCTTACAAGGAAGCATGCTTCGCTTTATCTGCTTTATCTGCACAGAGATAAGAGTTGGCTGCTGCCCTTCACAAACAGCCCCACAGCCCATCCCACTGCAAAGCCGCAGAGAAGCAGGATGGCAGCTCATCTTACATGGCCTTTTCCACTGATTATTAACCTGGACTGAATGCACGTTCTCAGCAGTTGCATTTGGGCAGCACTGAGACAGTTACCACGATCTGGATCTACAGAAATGTGCATGCTGAGTGAGCAGCTGGATGATGGCGGAGCTTCCACCTCAACTTGCAATGGATAGGGAGAAAGTGCATTTTAGTTATGCAAACCACATGCACATTTTTCTCATATAAAGAATGAAAAATAGGTCTCCACCTTGTCTTTCTGTGAAATCACTCTGTTTGGAATCTATTGATAATTAACAACATTATCAGGCAAATTTAAGTGCATTGTACTCCGTCAACTTCACCTACCTTCCAGAGAAACACAGCACTGCCATCAGGAAGCACTCAGCACTATTTTTGGTGTGGCTATGTGAGAGAGGGCCTGTGGGAGGGCATCTTCCAAAGAAATGCAGACGATATCTTTTAGGAGGAATTAATAGTTAGGAAACCAAACCATTACCCGCTCTCACCAATGACCAGAGGATATTTTTCTCTCTGGGCTGGAGTTTATACAAAGAGTGCCGCGTGCACTGAAAGAAAATCATGACTCATTGAATTTAAGGAACTGTTCAGTGAAGCCAAATTTTCCAGCGCTCCTCCCTCTCCCTTGGCTGGCTGTCCCCTGGGCACACCAACCCTCTATCAGCGGTCACAACAGAGTCACAAAGTCCTTTTCATTTCCTCTGAATCGGAGAAGTCAGGCTTTGTCAGGACTGCGATTCCGCACAGCTCTCGTGCATCCTGAGAGCTGTGTGAGAGGATGCTGGCATGCTAAACTCAGCTCATTTCTGTGCTTGGTGATTTTGCAGTGCTGCTCCCTCTAGCTAGGCACATCTGACAGTGGGCTGGGCTCCTTATCTCTGCCCCCAAACCCCACTGTGTCAGGCACAGCAACATCACAGCATCGTGTGTGTCACACGGCTGCAACATCTTCCCCAAGGGCAACCATTGTGTGAATGAGCAGTTGTTCCAAAAGTGGCCACTTTTCCCCCAAGTACCTACAAATACATGAACTGATGCCTATCCACACTGGAATGTTTTGCTAGTGTCAAAACCCACATAAACTCTCATTTTACCTGTGTATGAAGTACTCTTAGCAGCATCACCTATGGGGAAAAATAGTAACAAGAGAAAGGCATCAATACTTTATGAACAAACAATTGTAAATAAAGTTTGTGAATTTTTTTCTAAATACATCTCCCTCTCTCTGTTGTGATTCAAAAATGTTTGACCCTGCAGACAGCATTCAGAAATCTTTATGAAGCAGTGACTTCAGAAATGTTGCTGTCTCCCTGAACATGACTGGGATGGAGCTTTGCGATGCTGGGCAGATGGGACTGCAAAGCCTTTCACAAAGTTACCACTGAGGAAAATAAATAAGCAAAAGCTGCAATTGGTGTTGGCCTAAGATTTTTAAAAACATTGAGTGACTTTTTATGGAACATATTTTCATTTATCAGCTTCACAAGGCATGTGGTGGGAGTCAGGCTGGCCACTCATCCATAGCATGAACCTGTATTTCTAATTTTGCATCCTGCTTGTTGAATCTTGCCTGCAACTGCAAAATCTTTAGGGAAAGACTTACTTACATTTTCCTATGTGTCTGCAAAATGCCTGCCACAGTGCCCAAGCTCTTGAGATGCTACTGTAATAATAATAATAACTATAACCATGAGCATAATTCCCATTGTGAGCAGCATGCAGTAAGGCAGCCAAGAGCCCTGCCATGAGCAGTTTTATAGTCTGCTGTCTAATTACTGGCATAAAGAGGGTGCAAGAAGATTGCCTATAGAGGGAGAAGAGGGAAGAGCTCTTGGGGGAATCAGAGAATAGCTTGAGTTAGAAGGTACCCCTAAAGGTCAGCTTGTCCTGCTCCCCTGCAATGAACAGGGACACCTACAGCTCTATTAGGTGCTCAGAGCCCCATCCAGCCTGACCTTGAGTGTCTGCAGGGTTGGGGCATCCACCACCTCTCTGGGCAACCTGTGCCAGTGCCTCACCACCCTTAGAGTAAAAAACTTTTTCCATATATCCTATCTAAATCACGTCTCTTGTATCTGAAATCATTTCTCCTTGTCCTATCACAACAGACACTGCTAAACAGTCTGTCCCCTTCCTTCTTACAGCCCCACTACATACTGAAGGGCTGCTGTCAGGTGTCCCTGGAACCTTCTCTCCTCCAGGTTGAAGAGCCCCAGATCTTTCAGCCTGAGAAAACATGAGCGTTTCACAACAAGGTAGACTTGCTGTCCTTGCCCATGCTTAATGAAGATGCTGTGACTAAATATCTTTAAGGTATTGCCAAAGACATCCCTGTTTTCTTCTGTTGGGGAAGTCTGGGTGGATTTTGAGGTCGTTCTGTGTTTCTGTGCGATGTCTACAGGCTGGAGGAGGCCTTGAAATGCTCCAAAGCAGTGACAAAAATTGCAGCATGGCCAACACACATAAAACCACCAAGCCTGGGACAAGGCTGTGCTGGCAACAGGCTGCATAGGTGCTAAGGGCACACACAGAAAGTTGGATGTATACTGAAACCATCTGATTTATGGCCCAACTCCAAGCCATCTGCCTAGCACACAGCTGAGAAATCTCACATGGAAACAGAACAGCCTTAGGCTTGGGACAAAAGGGACCATCCAGGCAATAAATAAAGCTCTGCAGTTTTGCAGGGAACCAAGCTATGTATTACATTTAGAACTGAGCCAGGAGGGACCTGGTTCTTGTTGTTGCATTTGGTTTATGTATTTTCTTTAATGGGAAAACCCAGCAACTTTGGAATTTGTTTTCTACTCTGAGGCAGGTAATAAATTTGTCATGCATTGCAATTCTAAAATTGCTTAATTTCAGCCAGATCAAAATACTTGGTTTCCATGAAATCAGCCTTGAAAATCATACATTATATCTATTACACTTTTGTGTGAGACAAAGAAATTCAACCCAAACATTTCAGGATGAAAATTAAAATTGTTCTTTCTTGTTTTTCTTTCAGTTTCTCCATGGAAATGAAATTCTCTAGTTTTCCAAGAGGATTAATTTCTCAGTACACTGGCCTTTCCAGAGGACACCAGTCATGGGGTGACCCATCCCCACTGATGTGACCACACTGCTGCTAGAAGCCTGTCCCAGCAGGGTCAGCATTTGCACTGGGAGCTGGTGGCAAAAGCCCAGCCGGCAGCTGCAGCTGACAATGAGATGCTAAAAGGCAGCCTAAAAACTAACCACTGATAGGGGTGAGGAGAACCAGCTGCTGCTGACCACGACCTCAGTCAATGACAAGCATGGCACTGGCTGGGAGGACTTCCCTTCATCAGGAGCTGTGCTCTGACTCACAGGTTGTGTCTGAGCAAATACAATCTGTTGCCTTAAAGCTGGTGCAGGTGCTGGGCTGCATCTTGCCTCACTTGTTATCAGGCAGAGCAAGCGGGACACCCCACAAAGGATATGAAAATCCCACAGCTGTAAGAAGCTGGGGGTTTTCTTGTGGGTATGGGTGCTCAGCTCTCCCTCACCTCCCCACCGCTGTGAGCAGGCAGAAGGGAACACAGACAACACTTCTCCTGCAAGGAAAAACAAAACAGTTTCACATCGTCTGCGCAGCATGAGTGGACATCATGAGCGGATGCATTATTTAAGGAGTATTTCAGCAAGCACAGAGTGGCTTTCTTAAGGCCCTTGGCTCTGCAACTAACCACACCTAAAGGTGCCCCTTGGTGGTGCTCAGCAAAAGCAATTGGCCTGGCTGGGCTCCTGTAGCTGTGTTTACCGGTATTAAACCAAAGCAGGGATCTCCGGCCGTGCAGCATCCAGGGGATGGCGTCAGCGCGGTGGCTGTGGCGGGGATGCAGCCATACCAGGCACCATCCCCACCGCGCCGGCAGCCCTCGCCGTGGGAAAGCCTTTGATGTAACCAGAGCTCCGGGGCCGCGTTTCCACCCCGGTACCTGATCTCGTAAACATCAGCGATGGCGCGGCCGCCGCGCACGCAGAAACCACATCCTGTCACCCGCTCGGCAATCGGCAGGGCCATCTCGGTGGCCAGGACGTGGAGGAGTTGCGACACTCGTCTGCGTGCTGCAAGCAGCAGCGGTTCCGTCAGGGCGAGGGGTCAGCGTTTTGCACCCTGCGACCCCGTGGGCTGGTGAAAGCCCGTCCGTGTGCAGCCGGGGTTTGAGAGAGCCTACGTGCGTCGGCTGATTTTTGCCAGCAATTCTCCTTCCGCGGGAACATGGAGCTGACTTTATAATTCATGCATGCCTGGGAAGTGCAATCCAGTCCCGCTGGAGTAGCAAGCTCAGTGGGAGTTTATTTATTTAAAGCAGTGCATGCAGTAGCATGGAAAAAAGCAAATCTATCAGAAACCATAAGTCTTAATCCTGAAACGGGCTTTGCTTTTTGTAAAATACGGCCTGGAGAATCTGCTTTTACAATGTGGCTTCCACAGAGCCTTGGCTTGACATTTCCATCCCCACAGAACTATATTATAGCATAACAATTAAAACATTTACAAAATGAAGATAATCTATGGCTGATCCAAGTTTCTATGGAAATTTGGAGGCTATGGTGTACGCAGCTGCTCCCATCTAATGCAAAGGTTGGCTGTAGTTCTGCTTCTGAGCACATTCGTAACTTAGGAGATAATTTATCCACTCTGTTTACACAGTTCTCAGCTTGCACAGCCCTCAAACTTTTTCTATGGTTCCCAAGCAAAAGGCTGCCTTACTTTCCCCTCTCAACCTGAGCAATGCCAACGAAACTCCTCTACTGAGAGATATGTGTGCTCACATGGGTGCCACAGGCTCTGATGGAAATGCATCAGAGCAACTCACGAGAGACACTCTGCCCTGCAGTGTCCCATAAATACAGTGCCACAAAAACTCACTGCCTTTCCCTTTGGTGAGGAGTTGAGCTCCGGTTTGCTCCCTTCCTGAGCAGCACCCCAGTGCTGCTGCTTTTCTGGGCAGCAGGGGAAGGGGCACAGCTGGATGGCACTGCTGTGGTTCACCTCTGGATATGGGATGCTCTGCTCCTGGGGGTATGTTTCTTCCTGCTCGCATTCATGGCAGGACAGGGTCTCACATTCACAAGTTTATCAGCTCCAGTGAGTCTGTGGATGATGCAAATAGTTTTCATTTTGCACTGTGAAATTGCTAATGAAGAAGGCATTAATGACCGCCAAGCAAAGGAAATAAGCCAGCAGCACACAGCTCCAGCAGCCACACAATGGCCCAATGGGTGGGTGCAATCTTTTTTTTTTTTTTTTTTGAGTCTGAACTCAGAAAGGCTTAGAGTGCCAGTGCTTTGCAGTCTGAGGGAAGAAAAGAAAACCAACAAAAAAATCAATCGATCAATCGATCCATCGATAACACAACAAAAGGCACTGCAAACCCCATTATTTTAATTCCTGGCCTTGTGAAACTGCTGCAGCACAGCTGAGCTGCTGTGAGGATGGAGGTGTTGGTGGCTCAGAAGTGCCATTGATTTTAAAGAGCAGCTGTATTCATAGGCCCTCAGTTACTTCTTAGTGAAAATAATTTGCAAAAAAGATAGGCATCTCAAGACACTGAAAAGCCTGTCAGAACAGAAGGGAACTCAGAAGCTGAGATCGCTATCACATACAGCAAGTCTTCACTAAAGAAGCAATTGCTCTGTTTCGTGCTGCCCAAGTCTTAGCACCTCAAGCTTGTTCATGCAAATACTCAGAGGAAAAAGTGTTTACTGCCATCCTGAGAGCATTAATTTGGCTCATGTGTGGTATTGCAAGGGGTCATGCCAATGAGGAGAGTCTCTGCTAATAATGATGTTTGCAGGACTCGCGTGCCCTTTACCATGATATTACTGCAAGGGAATGTTTGTGGCATGTAATTACTGGGTATGTGTTTATTTAACACTATTCTTCAGTGTTTTATAAAAGACACCCAGAGAAGAGAAAGGGGTTTGTTTTGTCTTTTTGTAGACCTCTGAGTACATAAGATTCCAACACAGAGAGTTGGTAGTGCAGAGGGATGCAAGCCAAGCTCCCTTTGACCAAATCCACTGCTGACTGTAGGTGCAGAACCACAACAGGCCAATGCTCAGAAATGCCCATGCACAGAAACGCCCCACTCACTGCCTGGCATCGCCTGGGAAGGTGTTAGGAGCAGGGCAGGGCTTTGAAGCAACACCAGCATGCTTTCCTAAAAGCAGAGAGCTGTGTTCACGCTTGGCAGTGCCAAGGACTCATTTCAGGATCGTGCTTCCCTCTTTACCTACACCAGTGTTTGCAGCAACCAGTTGCTGCCTCAGCTGTTTGCATTCCTTATTCCCCTCTGGAGCCATGTTGCTAAGTCACTCAGTTATATCACTGGGGAGAACGTATGACATTTGTAGTTAATTTATTTTATTTTTTCCCCAGCCTACAGTCTGGTTATCCTGGTTTCCTAAAGACAAATTCCTAAATTTGCAGCTATACATCAGCTGGATTTTCATCATTGTCTCACCTTAAGCTTGGACAGGCCATGAGGATATCTGCATCTAATATCAGTCCCTGACCACCTCATTAACAAACTGGAACTAAACAAGAACTGGAATAAGACACTGGAATAGGCTGCCCAAAGAAATGGTGGAATCATCCCTCCATTCCTGGAGGTGTTAAAGAAACATGGAGATGTGGCACTGAGGGGCATGGTTTAGTGGGCATGGTGGGGATGGGTTGGACTTGATGATCTTGGTGGTCTTTGCCACCCTTAATGATTCTATAACTCTAAGAATTAAACCAGATTAGACTAACAATCATTTAGGACCTTCAGAAATCCATCAGAAAGCGATTTGCACAGTCTGCTTGCTGTTTTACAGAACACCTTCTCTCTGGGATTACATTTTTTTAAACCAAGATCCTAAAAGCTCCACACATGTTCAAGTCTCTCGCATAGATGAAGACTTATGATTTTTTTCAATTACTGACATTTTGGTAGAGGGTTTTCTTTGTAGCTACTACTGCCATGCTCATTAAAACAGATCTGAAGTTAACAGCAATTAGAGCAAATGCTAAGACCCACAGCCTCTCAGGTCTTCTAAGGCAACAACTATTCTCAAGGCAATCCAAGAATCACAGCCTCATTACAGTGTGATGTCTGTGCAGTTAATGAGCAGCTGTGCGTGACTGCGAGGCATCTCACAGTCCAAACTGCAAAATGCAGTGGTTGGTGACAGATAGGCTTATAGAACTTGCCCTCCTAAAGAGAGGCTGCTCTTTCCCTCTCTAGCACTGTGCAATACTCAGATCGATGCTTTCCTTTACTCTGGCCCAAGGCTCACCTCCTCTGCAGCCCATTGGTGCCCATTGCACCCCGGAAGGACTCTGGTGGATGCTGCCCCATCAGTAGTGCTTTCTGCATCCTCAGGTTCTCCTTGCTGGATGGAGTCTCAGCATTACATTGGGGACCATATGCTAAGCAATGCACAATTTCAACACAGTAGGTCAGGAGCCATGGTACCAGCTGAAAATATGAAGCACAAGCATTTGCTCTCACATTTCTGTGGCTGCTGGCTGGCTCCCCAGGAGACTGAGTTCACACTCAAGAGCACAAGGCAGGCTCCCATTGTGTGGGGGAGATGGGACAGTGAATCACTGCCAACAGGGATTTACCTCCTTGACAGGGCAAGGTCAGCTTGAATAGCCAAGCCCACGCTGGCGAGCTCTGAGCACAGCCCAGTATACCCCAGCAGCAGTTACCAGCTACCTTGTGCAAAAGTCAAGCAGCAGCTCTGTAGGCTGCATCCATCTTCCTCTCTTCTTTTTTAGAATCATAGGATCATTAAAATTGGAAAAGGCCTCCAAGATCATCCAGTCCAACCATCCACCTACCACTAATATTTCTCTACTAAACCATGTTCTTTTGTACCAAATCTACACATTTCTTGAACACCTCCAAGGACAGTGACTCAGTCACCTCTATGGGCAGCCTATTCCAGTGCTTGACCACTCTATTTGAGAAGAAATTTTTTCAAATATCCAACCTGAACCTCCCCTGGTGCAACTTGAGGCCATTGCCTCTCGCTATATCGCTGTTATCTGGGAGAAGAGGCCAACCCTCACCTCGCCACAGCCTCCTTCCAGGAAGTTGTAGAGGGCAATGGGATCTCTCCCGAGCCTCCTCTTCTCCAGACTGAACAATCCCAGTCCCTTCAGCTGCTCCTCATAAGGCCTGTGTTCCAGACCCCTCACAGCTTCACTGATCTTCTCTGGACACACTCCAGGGCCTCAATATCTTTCTTGTAGTGAGGGGCTCAAAACTGAACACAGTTCTCTAGACATGGCCTTACCAGAGCTGAGTACAGGGGGATGATAATCTCACTGCTCCTGCTGGTTGCACTATTTATGATATAAGCAATAGATTTTAAACAAAAAGTTTTTAGAAGTGTTGATTCTGCAATGATTTTGCCATTTTCCTTTGAAATGAATCTGTCAGAGGGAAAGCAGAACTCATCAGCTGTACCAACAGCTAAAACAAAAAGGATGAAGATTGAAAAGTGGCAAAATAATAAAAAGCAATGCCACCAAGAACATTCTTCAAACAAAACGGAGAAGTAGACAGAGAGAAAACAGAGTTAAGCAAGAGGGAAGAGGTAAGTGCCTTATGCTATGAGTCCTCAATATCCTTCGCTTTTCAGAGAAAAAAAAAGAGAGCTGGATCTCAGTTCTTTCACAAGGACATTAGGAGATGATTACATTTGCAGATGCTCTGTCACCTCAGTACATTAACATCCCATCCCCACACCCTGTGCAATATTTCCCTGGAGATGTCACCTTTCATCACATCTGATGTCTAATAAAGATGTAAGAGAAGTTAATAACAGCCTGCACAGGGGGAGTTCTGTTCAAACAACCAAGGGAACTGCTGATGTGTTGTTACTGGAGATGTCCAAAAAGGATAAGAATGACCAGGAAATCATGGGGTATCCAGTTTTCAATGTGGTGGTGTTGGATCCACTGATATCAGCCCAGACGTGCTAAATGATGCACAAAATCTTTTCCAGCCATTTCAGCTTTGTCTGATGGTGCTCCCACCACTTGGCTCCATGCTTGACTCCTTATAGGGACACACCAGCCCCAAAACTGTGTCAAGCTGAAATAAAGCCAGTTGACCTGATTTGCTTTGCCTTGAGATTTCTGGTATAGGTTATTCAGGCAGTGTCTGCCAGTTCCTTTTTAGCCAATTCTCACTCTGCTTTTATAAATCCATATTC